CTCTCTCTCTCTCTTTCTTTCTTTCTTTCTCATGTTTCTTAGTGTATGATAAATTCTCATTTTTCTTTCCTGGCCTATTTTAAAAATACCTGTAAGTAGAAGAGCTAAGTGAACAAACAGATTCGTGTCTACATACCCCCTTGGCATCAATCACACCAGGCTTGGAATTAAATTTCACTGTTTTTAAACGCGCCTTCTCTTTCCTTTCCACCCTGGAGAGAAAGAGGAAAAAAAAAGAGGAAGAAAGTAAAATGGAAATATGTATGAAATCCATTATTATCATTATAGCTATTACAGGTTGTTCTTGACTTATGACCACAATTGAGACCAAAATTTCTGTTGTTAAGTGAGTCATTTGTTAAGTAAGACATCTTCTTGCCAGCTTTCTTGCAAGTTTGGGTTGCTGTTTGTACAGGTAGTCCTTGACTTACTATCGCAATTGAGCCCAACATTTCCATTGCTAAGTGAAACATTTCTTAAGTGAATTTTGCCCCATTTTACGACCTTTCCTGCCACAGTTGTTAAGTGAATCACTTCAGATGGCAAGTTAGTAACCTGGTTGTTGGGTGAATCTGGTGTCCTCATTGACTTTGCATATCAGAAAGTCACAAAAGGTAATCATGTGACCCCCAGGACACAGCAATTGTCGTAAGTATGAACCAATTGTCAAGCATCAGGATTTTGATCACATGACCACGAGGATGCTACAGTGGTCATAAGTGTGAAAAACGGACATAAGTCTATTTTTTCAATGCCGTTGTAACTTCAAATGGTCACTAAATGAGGACTACCTGTATTCAACCAAGGGGGGATATTTTATATATATATATATATATTTGATATTTTGTTTTACATACATTTTTTAATGTTTATTTATTTTTTGTCTTTGTCTTTATTTTCCTCTTTTCTTCTTTTCTTCCCTTTTTTTCTGGATTTTTGCATTTTAACTTTGGAAATAAATTTACAAAATATAAAAATAGATATATGAAAACAAAAGATCAAGAGAAAAGAGTAAGGCAACCAGTGGTCGCACGTAATGAATGGCTGGGAATCACATATACTTTGCCAGACCGGACACCACTTAAACCTCTAAATCACGGCTGTCAAACCCTCGGCCCACAGACCGGATGCGTCATGTGCTGGCCACACCCATTTAGCGAAGGGGGAGAAAACGTGTTGATACGTCATGTGACACCACCGTGATGATATGAGTTTGACACCCCTGCTCCAAATAGAAATGATCCTTGGCTCCATTTCATGAGAAAGGTATAGTTTTATTAGGAGTCAAGTGCATTGCAACAGCGCATAGCTAGGACTGAGAATCGCGCGCTAAAATCCCCAAGTTCAACTTTTTCCTCCCATAACTGCCTCCCGTTGCTAACCTCCCCAAACTCCCATGACCAATCAGGTTCAAGCAAGATATTTTCAGAACAATCACTCCAAGTGTAGGTTGCTATGCAGCTGCCTTCTTCTACCAGCCGGGTAACCTTGAAGCAGCATCTCAGGAAGATACAGCATTTAGTTTCGCTTTCCCCCAAGTATTCCTTCCTTCCTCCCATCCACTGTCCCCAGAGTTGTGTCATGCCCCTGGTGGAGACTGACCCTGAGGGAGAGGAGGAACAGCCGACAGGGAGCGGAAGTGTGGCTCCGGAGGTTGTGGAGAAGGCTGGGGAAGGGCAGAGGCCGGCTGGGCAGTCAGAGGAGGACCCAGGCCCATCCCCTCTCCATCCTAGGGCACGCAGGGAAGAGAGGATAAGGGAGAGAGATGGCCTACTGGGGAGGAGAGGGCCTTGATCCTCTTCATGGGCTGCAGCTGTGACAACTGAATAAGAGGAAGGACCTGCATACGGGTGAACGCTGGAAACAAAGCATGGAAATATCTCTTGTTTATGGTTTATGGTTCCTCTCTGAGTTTGGCGTCCTTCTCAGTGTGTGTTCTGTTATCTGTGGATGTCCCACAGCCCTTATCTTGCCTGGTTTATGTTGTTTTTTTTTTACTCTTTATAATTTAAACAGCATTTCCTCCTTCTTGTAACTGCTTGTGTGGGAGTTTTTTTTTTTTTTGTCTCCAGTCAAGGATATTTGGAGCTTGGAAGCAAAGTGAAGGAATAAAAGGGGCTTCGCCAGGTTTTTGTGAGTGTGTTTGTTTTGTATCCCACCCTGGGTCATCACAGTTCATGGCAGACTGTCACAACATGGTAGCAAAGCACGCCGTGCAAGCATAACGTGGCCTCGGACATATCTAGGATTCAAAATAGGTAGGAGAGATCCCACAAGTGACTCAAAAAAGCAAAGGTTTTAGATCTACAGCAGATTCACCAAGCAGCAGATAGATTTACTTTAGGAGAAACACAGTTTCCAAAGGTTACATAAGGAGGAGTTATTTTTGACTACGGGAAGAAGTGTGAAAATTACACACAGTTAATTATTGTGGAACAAAACGACTCGGAGAACATTATTTTCAAGAAGAAATAAAATATAGACTGCTGTTTCAAAACTGCTCGTTTTTAACATTGCCAGCTGCAGCACACCAAGTTCATGTTACTATAGTTACAGCCTAACTTTGGAATAAATCTTCTTTTTTTTCCCCACTCCAAGAAAGCAGCATGTAGACATAGAAATGCAGCTTTCCCATTCAGAGGGACTGATCTTTGAAGCATACATTTTAAACCTTGAAGAGGAAGTTCCATATTGGAAAAGGCCCAAGGGAAAAAGACATCGAAAGGGAAGGAAAATTGGACGTCCTAAGTGGAGAAAGGAAACCCAAAAGGCATATTGGGGAAGAAAGATAATTAGGTCAAGACTACATTCGGTCTTTTGATGATTATTCCACACTAATATTAAGTTGCCTTTTTTTTCTCTCTCTAACTTTGCAAAGTGACTCAGTTTTATGATTCATTTCTGCTTTTAAGTAGAAAACCTGATTCCGATTGGGTCCACACCATAATGAGACTTGTCTCTTTGTGGCTTAGATTGTTGTGCTCCGTAAACCATGATGTATGTTTTAGCAATTGCTTGAATAGGGTTAAACTCCTGGATTGTGAAGGCAGGATAAGGTACGGAATGAATTAATTGGCTTTTCTGGATTTTAGTTCCATTTGCTATGCCAGGGATATCTGGGAATAAACTAACCCCTCTGGCAGCAGCGTTAGGCATTCTGGTATCTGGCATTCTGGTATCCTTCCTTCCTTCCTTCCTTCCTTCCTTCCTTCCTTCCTTCCTTCCTTCCT